TGGATAATGGTTGGTTGGAGGTTGTAGATGGGAGTGAGACGAGGTTAGGGGTGGTGGAGTCTGATGGTTTGGGTGACCGAAAAGTGGTGGAATGGGGCTACTGAAAATGAGTGAAAAAGAAGAAGAAAGAAGAATATGAAATGAAAGAAGTTGGGTAAATAATTTGATATAAATTGAAGGACAATTTTATCATTTTACCATTAAAACATTTTAATTTTTTTTATTCTATTTCAATATTGGTTAAAGGTCATTTCTCCAAAATCATTCTTGAGGAGGGTTATTTGGCCCAATTTTCCACTCAAGAATGGCCACCTCAACTAATTTCACCTTTTTTTAGATGGGCTCTTGGATTACAAAACCCTAACCATTTTTCTCTCCTGTACACGGAAATTTCAAAGGCCGTAGAGAGAAGAAAAGAACCCAGTATCAACCCTCCCCAACCATGGCGGCGGCGAAAACTGAGTCTGTACAGTGCTTCGGCAGGAAGAAGACGGCCGTGGCCGTCACCCACTGCAAGAGGGGGCGCGGATTGATAAAGATCAATGGCGTCCCAATCGAGCTGGTCCAGCCAGAGATCCTCCGTTACAAGGCGTTCGAGCCTATCCTCCTCCTAGGCCGCCACCGCTTCGCCGGAGTGGACATGCGCATCCGCGTCAAGGGCGGTGGTCACACCTCCCAGATCTATGCCATCCGTCAGTCAATTGCAAAGGCCCTAGTCGCCTTCTACCAGAAATACGTCGATGAGCAGTCGAAGAAGGAGATTAAGGACATCCTTGTTAGATACGACAGGACTTTGCTTGTTGCTGATCCTCGTCGCTGTGAGCCGAAGAAGTTTGGTGGCCGTGGAGCTCGTGCTAGGTTCCAGAAATCCTACCGTTGAAATCTCGGTAGTTCTGATTATATCATTGTAGTCTTTATGCTTATCTTTTGTAGTATGCATTTGGAATTTTGGATAAGAACTTCGTTTTTATTGAAGTGAGTTTTCAATTGAAGTCCGGATAATGGCTATAATCTGTTTTGTTAGGGTTTTGAGGCACTTTCATTTAATTGTTACATTTCCGATTATCAAGATGACTTTTTGGGATAATATCGACAGGGCTTATATTACTGCATTTGTATGTTGTGGTCTTTGTAATCTCCTTTTTACTTAGTAATGATTGTGGTTGTGCTTTTTCTGGTTCTTAGTCAAGTTAGTTCGAATTTGCCGAATTAATTTTTCGACAAATGTGGGGAAAGTTTTTTGATTTATTATTGAGAGTTTTAATTTCCTTTTATAATCTTGCTCTGGAATATTTTATTTAACTTGGTCTAGCCATTGTTGTGCCATATTTGTTAAAGCTACTGTGGCCTTGAAATGTGTAGCAGATGTGCAGTTAAGCAATGTTAGATCACAATCCACTTATAATCAAGAATTGCTTTTTATTGCATCGAAGGGAAAGAGCTTTTCTATAGGAGATTTTTAAATAAATTTAAGCCTTTTCTGTTTTGTGCTTGGTACAATGACCAAAGGTCTTACTTTGCCTACATATGTTTCAGGATAAAATATTCTACTAGAGTTGCAATTGATGAGTTGATATGCTGTGTTTTCCCTCTGTACAGGCATTAGATTTTTTGGTTTCAGCAGTCTTGATATCACAGATGCTAGTCCAGTTTGCTTTTACTGGTGTCTTGTATGCATATAAAACTCCTTGTCTTATGCTCTATTTGTGATGGGGTTGTAGACCTGCAAAATTGAACGGCAGATTGAAGAAGACACCTATGTTTTTATAACCACGGCGAGAGGGTCAAAGGTTGAACTGTTTATAATAAATATATGACAAAAATTTTGATTACCATTACCAGTTTGATCCCTCTTCAAGTTGATAAACCTAATTCTTCCAGATTTTGTTTACCATTTCCAATTTGATCACCTCTCCAAGTTGTTAAATCTACTTCTTCTGCTGTGTGTTGTTCCGTGTCTATTCCTTGATGGTAGTGTTAAGACTGTTATTTCTTGTCCAGGTTGCTTCTTTACACCTCTCTAGGTCTTACGGAAGCTGTATCTCCTCTTTCCCAAACCCAAACTAGCATCATAGTTGCTGAGAACCCTAACCTTAAAAATTTTGCTGCTCAGTCGATGTTCGAAGAGGCTGCTTGCACGACTCCCCATTGCACGTTGGAGTATTTTATGATGTTGTCCATTGAAATAGGCAAACGTATCAACTGATTATACAACATTCTATACATTAAGTTCTAACACTCTTCCACATGGCATTCATCATAGCCATTTGACTTCTACAAAATCCTATAACGGGTCAGATTTTGACATAATGAGAATGTCAAGGAGAATGTATATATAGCTTCATTTTGTTACAAAAAATTTGTTTGAAATCAAATTCAACCATTTAACTTCAAAAAATTAAACTATTCCGTTGGAATCACAGAGTTGTCATAAGTCAAATGCATCTCATTTTCCAAAAGTATATTTCGGATTTTTGACTACTTTATATGATACTACATATTTCTTGTAGAAGGTATGTGAAATTCAGAGTTAAATGAAACAGCTAAAGATCCATATATATTGCAATAGAAACATCCTGAACATTAGACTCCAAAGAAGCAATTTCACGTATCTGTAGTTGATCTCACGAGTGTAGGCTTTTCTTGTAAAGTCTTTATATGTTTCATTGATCTCCACAGTCGCTTCCTCCATTGAAGAACTATTTAGGAATTGAAAAATATTAATGAGTGATATTTTGGTCCAAAAATGTTTCTTCCATATAGAAATGATCTTCTACCCATGGTGGATAGGAGTTATCCACCGTTGATGGGGAGTTGTCACGTCAGCAGTCAAGCCTTCAATTTTCGACAATTCAATGTTGAATGATAAAAAATTGTAGGCTTGACCATTGACGAGATATTTGGCAAGATAACCCTTACTCACCATGGATATGAAAATATTTCTATTCTTCCATATCCTGTCTTTTAGATTTAGATGTACTGTAGATGATTCAGTGAAGTTACAAAAATGGTATTCAAACTTCTAAAAATCTCTTACCTAAAACTTCTTTTTTCCTTCTTCAAAATCCAAACATCATTCTTTTTTTTATTATTACACTTCTAAAGATCTCATACATCTAATAAGGCACGACCATTACCAATTAGAATCGAGGTCTTCCTCCACAAAGTACAATGAGAAGCAGACCGGTAATAAAGGATGATTTTCTGACCGATCGAGTAGTAGTTGGATAGGCCGAGCCACCTATTTCCCCGGTGGTTGTAAGGTAAGGGTTGTCCAAAATCATTGAAGCAACTGGCCGAGCCTTGCCACGGCGACTAGCAGCTGGGCCGGTCGAGTAGTAGTTGGATAGGCCGAGCCACCTATGCACCCCACCACATCCCTTTCAATTCGTTTATCTGTTATCTTTCTCACATCTGAAACAATCAATCATAAAATCACGTGTTTTAATAATCACATATTTACAAAGGTGAGTGGCTAAGCCTTCAGAATCGCATTCAACATTCACGATGCTTTCATTAATTTTATGCACTGAATGTATCAAAGAAGCGATAAAACTACACTTCATCATTTATATGATCTAACAAATGAAAGTATTTTTCTAAGTTCCTCATATATGTGTCGATCTCACCAATCTCTTCATCCGTCTTATTTATCTCAAGAATGTGTTCAAAAATGACTTCTAATTTCCTCAATCAAGCCTATAAGCTTTGGTGCCTATCTTTCATTGACATTAACCCAGTTACACAGTCCCACACTACCAGAATTCAAATCCACGCATCTTCAAGCCTGCAAGAGTCTCCAAAATGTCATTAATGAAATTTGAGATTATTAAATTGCAACATAACAGTATAAATGTTCACTCTAAAACCTATGGCTAAATCTTCACAAAACTTTCATTAAGAGATTTTAGAGGTCAGAAATTCAATTAAAAAAAATATCCAATACCATGATACGTCATTCTTTCTTTTAACTTACAAATACTTCTACTTTCATCAAGAAAAAAACATGCTTTACTTCATGTCCATTAATAATAATTTTTTGATAAGTGCACTTCTCGCGTGCGACCTATATGACTTTTAAACTATAAGTACAATAAAATAATTACAAAAATCTTGTTACGGTGATCCAAATACAACAAAAGACTCTATCTTATTGCTGCTCTCATGCTCATTTATCGCTAACAGGCATTTTTCGTACTTCATAAATTTCGTGCACTTTAGACTGCAAAAAAGCAATTTCAAAAAACATTGCTCTTTAGCTGATCCTAAAATGTGGAAACTTTGCTTGTAAGTTCCTTAAATGTTTGTTTCACAAATCTCTTCATCCATCTTTACACAAGATTGTGCCCAAAGATTTTACCTTTTTATTTTATTTTACTCGACCTTGACTCTTAAGTTTATCATACCTTTCATTGAAAATACCCACTCATATGGTCCCACATTATGAAAATATAAAATCCCTACCTTTTCATGCATGTAAGCGTCTTAAAAATTTCATTACTAATGTTTTGATGATCAAATTGTAACCTCAAAGCTTTCTCCACGACAATGGAAAAAGTTACCATAAAACTTTAACTAAACTAAAATTCGTTAAGAATTATTTAAGACAAGTTCAATGCAGGTGCCTGTGGCGTGGCCGTGCGACCTCTAAGACTTTTAAACTTAGTGGATGTAAGATAGTTATAAATCTTATTAAAGTGATTCAAATACAACAAATGAAATTATCTTATCTCTACATCTATATTAAATAAATAGAGGGAAAAACACCAGCTAATTTTTAATACTCGTCGACGGACCAAAAAGCCGGTTTAGAAGTTTGCTGCTATTTGCTATTGGCCACACTTAGGTGACCCTAAAAATCCGATTCCATTCCCAGAGAACTCCAATGTTACCGACAAAGCTGTAATTTCTTTTTTTCTTTTCCTACTTTACCTTCTCATCCCTTTAATCATCAGGTAGATCTTTGACGGTAATGCGAAGATATTTCGGTGCTTTAGTTTCTTTGATTCCACGCAGAGAACTGTCTGAAGAAATTCAGTGAAGAATATGACATCTGGAAAGGGTAATCAAGAAGAGGAAGAAAAGGAGGATGAAGAGTCTTGTGTCTGAAAAGATGCCACCCCACTAATAATGCTAATGCAACTAGGTCAAAGCATTCGATTACAGAGCTGGACCAGAGTAGCAAAATCAATGACAGGTTTCTAATATTGATAGAACTGAGACACTGTAGTGATCAGAAGCTGAGACACTGCATCATTTTAATTGGATTATTCCAATGTGTAATTGGGGACCATGATTTGTCATTCCAATATATAATACTACTTTCGACAAGGAACAACTATACTACTTGTCCATGAAGCATAATTTTTTGTTAAGTGCAATGCATGTACAAGACTTTTAACCTTCAAGTGATGTATATTATTTTCAAATATTGTCATCGTGACTTAAATACAACAAAAGATACTGTCTTATTGCTACTCTCGAGCTCATTTATCGCTAATAGACATTTTTCGTACTTCCATTAATTTCATGAACTTTAGTCTTCCAAGAAGTAATATCGCCATATTTCGCTCTTTAGCTGATGCAACAAAGTGAAAGCTTTTCTTTAAGTCTCTTAAATGTTTGCTGATCTCACAAGCTCTTCATCCATTTTATTTATTTTGTGCTCAAAGATTTTTAATTTTTTTTACTCAACCTAGATTATAAGCTTTTCGAAACTTTTAATGGAAATACCCACTTATATGGTCCCACATTACGAGAATGTTAAACACCTATATTTTGAAGAATTTAAGAAATTTCATTACTAATGCTTTGGGGATCATTAAATTGTAACCTCGAAGCTTTTTCCATGACAATGGAAGAAGTTACCATAAAATTTTTAACTAAACCTTTACGAGAACTCTCTTTATATTTCAGAGGTCAAATTCTACAAAATAAATCAATATTCTGTCTTCTTGCTTACTAATATACACTACTTTTATAGAGGAAAAAATTCAATTTGTTTCTTGTTCACCATTAAGAATTATTTTTGATAAGTTCAGATTCATGTACTTTTGCCGTGCGACCTCTAAGAGTTTTAAACATGAGTGATATAACATACTTAGAAAGCTTATTAAGGTGATTCAAATACAATATGTGATAACATCTTATATCTACTCCAATGTTACCTACAAAGATGTAATTCTATTTTTTTGCTTTTCCTACTTTATTTACTCACCCCTTTAATCATCAGGAGGATCTTTGACTGTACAGAAAATATTCTGACTACTCTGTTGATTCAATTATTCGGTGCTTTAGTTTCTTCATTCCATGCAGAGAACCTGTATGAAGAAATTCAGTGAAGAATGAAATCCGGGAAGGGTAATTTAGAGGTGGAAGAAAAGGAGGATGAAGAGTTTTGTTTTAGAAAAGATGCCATACCACTGACAGTGTCAAAGATGGGAAGAACAGCGCAAGGCTAATGCAACTAGAACGAAGCATTCGATTACAGAGCAGGACAAGAGGAGCAAAATCATTAACTCAATGACATGTTTCGAACATTGATAGAAGTGATAACAAGTAGTGATCGTAAGCGATATACTGCAGCATTTTTAGCGTAGGTTTTTCAATATATAATTGGGGACTATAATAGGCCCTTCTATCTTAGCTTATTATATACATCTACTATCATATATTTACTACATGTCCATGAAGAATAATTATTCGATAAGTGCAATGCATATACTAATCGCGAGNCGATAAGTGCAATGCATGTACTAATCGCGTGCGACCTATAAGACTTAAAATTTAAGTGATACAAAATATTTAAAAATCTTGTTACGATCATTCAAATACAATTAGAGATATTATCTTATTCTATTCTCAAGCTCATTTATTGCTAATAGACATTTTTCATACTTTCATTAATTTCGTGTACCTATCCCGTCCTCAGTTCGGTGCAACGACCCCTTTCCGCTCCTGCTCCCATTCACCCGATTAGACTGTTAATAATTCTTGCCCTATTCTGGGCCAACCCCGCGAATAATGGTTTAATAGATTTTTTGTATCCCTATCTACAAAGAAGTAAAAGCTTTTCTTGAATGTTTCTTGATCCCACCAATCTCTTCATCCGACTTATTTGTTTCAATATTGTGCTCGAACATTTGACATTTTTTTTTTACTGAACTTAGACTATAAACTTTTCGCATCTTTCAATGAAAACGCCCACTTATATGTTCCCAAATTAAGTATATTGTGCTCGAACATGTGACATTTATGTTAATTTTACTGAACTTAGACTATAAACTTTTCGCATCTTTCAATGATAACACACACTTATATGTTCCCAAATTAAGAGAAATTAAATCCGTACCTTTTTAAGCTTGTAAGAGTTTAAAATTTTATTACTAATGCTTTTAGGATCATTAACTTTTAATCTCGGAGCTTGCTCCATGACAATGGAAAAAGTTACCATGAACTAAACCTTCACAAGAACTCTCTTTAAAATTTCAAGTGTCAAAAATTCCATAAAATGATCTAATACCTTGATACATCATTCTTTCTTCTTGATTACTAATATCACTACTTTAATAGAGGAAAACTTAAATTTATTTCTTGTCCACCATTAAGAATTATTCTTGATAAGTTCAATGCATGTGTTTTTGCCGTGCGACCTATAAGACTTTTAAACACGAGTGATCTAAAATAATTAGAAAGCTTATTAAGGTGATTTAAATACAATTCATGATATATCTTATTTAGAGGTGTCAAGACGGACGGGTCGGTCAGACCCGTGAAAATCGGTCCGAATCGACCTGGGACCGTGGGCAGACCCTTGACCTGAGCGGGCTGTTCACGGGTCAAGAAGGTGTGACCCGCAGGCTTCGCGGGTTGCACCTTTACGGGCTGCGGTTAATCACGGGCTGCGGTTAACCCGTTGGCCAGTGATTTTTTTTTAATTTGAAAAAAAGGACGGGAAAGAGTCAACATAGTTGGGATGTACTTAAACTATAAATTATAATAAAAGTAAGTGATAACCTAATTGGAATATACTTATACTATAAATATTTGATAATGGTAATTGGAAATACATTTAATTGTTATTTGTTTAAATTAAATTTAACTTTGCGAAGTTATAAATAATTCATGTAACATTAAATTTGAATTCTATGTAAATATTTCTTGATATAAATATGAATTTATCATTTTGTTCAATTCTTAGTTTACATTTAACAAAAAAATATATTTTTTGCTATAAATATAAAAAATTCTATAATTTTATAATTTTATTTATATAATAATACGGGCCAAATCGGAACAAACTGCGACCCCGTGACCCGCATGAGCTCGAACCGGATGGGTCAGCGGGTGGGTTTAGGTTGTAGTCCAAAATTTGTGGGCCGATCCGGAACCCGGAACCGGCCCGAAACCCGTAGCGGGTGGGATGTTACCGGGCTCATATGTTGGCGGGCCGACCCGACCCGGACCACCCGGAATGACACCTCTAATCTTATCTCCCCTCAAGCACATTTATCTTTATTAAATAATGAAAAATACAAGCTAATTTTTTAATTATCGCCATGGACCAAAAGGCCGGTTTAGAAGTTTGTAGCTATTTGCTATTGGCCACACTTAGGTGACCCTAAAAATCTGATTCAATTCCCACAGAACTCCAATGTTACTGTAATTTTTTTGTTTGCTTTTCCTACTTTATTTTCTTATCCCTTTAATCATCAGGTAGGTCTTTGAATGTACGGCGAAGATATTTTGACTATAGTATTGTCGAATGTCGATCCCGTGCTGGATTCGCCGGAATTCAATTTTTTTTTTTTTTGGGTATATATGCATTATAAAAACTGGTGCAATTAGAAGATTCGAACCTGTAATCATCATTGGAATTATGAGACACTTGACAACTATAGCATTTGGTGGATGTTGACATTTAATGCAACAAAACTCTATATTATCTTTTATCAAGTAATATGTATATTCCCCCTTTGTTTTAAATTTTTTTAAAACCAAAATTTGACCTCACAATGAGATTATTAAAATAGTCATTTTTCTGTTAGATTGAAATTATTAGCAAATCGAAACAAGAAAGTAAATAATTGAGTCCGTTTTTCAAACTTCAAATTGTTACTTGTTAAACATTATTAGACTGGTAGATAACATACACCCACACTTATAATTCGAACTACGATATAAGTAATTTCAGTTCATGACATTGGTTATCATTGCGGCCGTCAACGAGCCTGTGCTCATTCAAAATCCTGGATCCGCCACTGCTATCGATTCAATTATTCGGTGCTTTAGTTTCTTGATTCCTCGCAGAGAACCTGTTTGAAGAAATTCAGTGAAAAATGAAAACTGGGAAGGGTAATCAAGCAGAGGAAGCAAAAGACGATGAAGAGTTTTGTGCTAGAAAAGATGCCACAGGACGGACTAATAACGCCGAAGATGGGAAGAAGGCTAATGCAACTAGGTCAAAGCATTGGATTACCGAGCACGACCAGAGGAATAAAATCAATGACAGGTTTCAAATATTGATTGAACTGATACCCAGTAGTGATGAGAAGCGAGATACTGCATCAGTTTCATTGGAGGTTATTCAATATGTAATTGGTGACCATGATAGGCCATTCTTTCTTTTAGCTTATTATATACTTCTGCTCTCATTAAGGAAAACCTATACACTTCTTGTCTATGAAGAATAATTTTGTTTTAAGTGCAATACATGTGCTTCTCGCGTGCGACCTATAAGACTTTTAAACTTTAAGTGATATAAAATATTAATAAATCTTGTTACGGTGATTCAAATAGAACGAAGGATATCATCTTATTGATACTATGGAGCTCATTTATCGTTAATAGACATTTTTCGTACTTTCAGTGATTTCGTGCACTTTTTCTCCACAGAAGTAATTTCATCACTCTTTGCTCTTTGCGGATCCAATAAAGTGAAAACTCTTCTTGTAAATTCCTTAAATGTTTGTCAAGAAGACTCTTGTTGAAGCTCAATTGAATTACACTACTGCTGAGAAAGAGCTCTTAGCTGTGGTATTTGCCTTCAACAAATTTGAGTCATACTTACACCGTAAAGATGGGATTCCAGATGCATGTAAGATTTTGGAATCTCTTTTCATTTGTTCAGGAGCCAACAACTTTATTCATATTTTTACGGCACTTGGCACCTATGTTTCAGCAGCTGGCATGATTTTATGGACGTTGATAATCTCAAATCAAATTCAGTAACTAACTAAAGAGAAGACATTTAATTAAACTATAAAAGCTGATGATAACCCAAGTAATTAATTGGGCAGAAGGACCATTTCATGTTCTTTGTACTACCAAGAGAGTTATAATGAATTGCCATGTCATAGCTCAAGGAATGATCAACAAAATGATGTTACTTCTTGAATAAGCCCAACCTGGTTTTGAATTTTGCATTGAATATATTAAATAGAATCAGTGTTTTCTTTTCATGCAAATTTGCTCAAAGCTATATTCGGGTCATACAATATGAAAACACATTCACATTAGTGTAGAGTGGATAAAATCACTATATCTAGGTGGAGCATCCGTATGCTGTCGATCTTGAGAAAGCATTCATTCTTGAGCCCGTATTTTCATTTCTCAAAAGATTTCAATTGGTATATGCAAGAAATAGGCTAATCGGCAGCTTTCTCTTCATCTATCTTATTTATTTCATGATTGTGCTCAAAGATTTGACTTCCATTGTTTATATATATATTTTACTCAACCTAGACAATAAGCTTCCCGTACATACCTTTCAATGAAAATACCCACTCATATGGTTCCACATTACGAGAATATTAAATTTGTATCTTTTAAAGCCTGTAAACATCTAATGCTTTGAGGATCATTAATTTTAAGCTCAAAGCTTTCTCCACGGCAATTGAAAGTTACCATAAAACTTATAACTAAATGTTCATGAGAACTATTTAAAATTTCATAGGTCAAAAATTCAATAAAATGATATAATACGTTGATACATCAATGTTCTTTTGTCTTGCTTACTATATACATTACTTTTGTAGAGGAAAAACTTTAATTTATTTATTGTCCACCATTAGGAATTATTATTGATAAGTTCAATGCATGCACGTGCGACCTCTAAGACTTTTAAACTTGAGTGATATAAAATACTTACAAAGGTTATTAAGTTGATTCAAATACAACACATGATATTATTTCTACTCAAGCTCATCTATCCGTGTTGAGAAACAAGACTATAGTTG